ACTGCCCTCCCTCTGTCACTGCAGTGTCACACGGTGTGACAGTGGGGCACACCTGGGTCTGCCCTCACACCCGGGGGTGGCAGCTCCTGAGGTTTAGTGGATGTGAGGGAATACAGCTGAAGGCTGGCGTGGTCTGACTCCTGCAAAGCACGCTTCCTTTTTTTGTAAAATAATGGTTTATTTAAAATTTAGCAACTTGCACAATCGTTTGGTAAAACATTCCATTGAATTCTTTCACCTCTTTGTCCCCAGGGCCACAAATCCAGCGTTTAAGGAGGTGCTGTCCCGGATCGAGTCCCACGAGGATTGCAGGAATCTGCCCATGATCTCCTTCCTCATCCTCCCCATGCAGAGAGTCACTCGTCTCCCCTTGCTGATGGATGTGAGAGACCTTTCCTCTCTCCTTGCTGCTTGTGCTTGCAGTGTTAACATCCTCCCTATTCAGTTCTGCTTCTCTGCAGTCTCCTCTGCCTTCTCCCTTACACTAATCCTGGGCTCTGGATTTTGGATTCCTGCTGCATTTGTTTGCTGCCTGGGACTGGGCCCTCCTGCTCCCCCATTCACAAGTTAAATACTTGGATGTTCCAATAGGAAAATTGTACAACGAAGGGTTAAAATGGTTCTGAAACTCAGGAGGAAGCAGCACAGGAATTGTATGTAGGGCAGGGATTGAAATGAACCCTGCAGCTGAAAACCAAAACCTGCTGCTGCCTGTAGGGAGGGCGAGGGCCCTTTGGCAGGGAATCCTCTGTCCCTGCCTGGGCAGTGACTGGGGACTCGGGGGGAGTGAGGGGAGTGCCAGGGGGTGTTTGCCAGGCAGAATTCACACCAGGATTGGGGTATTTCAGTTCGGGTGCCAGGACTAAGGGGATGCTGGGCCACCAGCAGCAGTGCTCATTGTGATCAGGCTCCAGCACTGGTAGGAGCCAGAAACAGAACTGATCATTTTGTTCTGTGTATTTTTAAACTGAGCTCTGGTGAATTTGATCACCTGGACAGTTCACTCACAGACATTGAATTCTCTCTTCTCTGCTCTACATTTCTAGGTATAAAATAGAATAATAATCCAGTATTCCTGCAGTGTGTCACTGGGGGTGCATTCCCCTCCTTGGGTTTTTCTTTCCTATAGCTCCTTCCCCTCTTTGACTGAAATAATCTAAACAATCAAATCAAGCATTTTATTTCCCACTTTTTCAGTTTTGTTTTTTGTTTGGAGATGGTTGTATAAACCTTGTCTTGAGAGGTGCAGAGCATCACTTTGACCCCAGCCCTCTCCAGGGGGACATTCCTTAGTGTGCCCAAGTTTCTGGTGTTCTGTCAGTCCCCAGCCATGATTCAGCTCCTGGGTTTCAGTTGGGATGTGAAATCTCTGGGAGTTGCAATCTGTGCTGCCTGGTCCTCTGAAGTAACTGGTGTTTTCTTTCAGACTATTTGCCAGAAAACCCCCAAGGATTCAGCAAAATATGAGAACTGCAAGCAGGCTCTGAAAGAAGTCAGCAAGGTATGTCCTCAAGTTATTCCTGTGTACTTCCAGGGAAAAATGGAAATTTTCCATGCATAAACAATGCAGGCAGGAAGAGCACTGAGGTATAGAAGCTTTACATTGTATTTAAGGAAGGGCACTGGGGATTGGGTTTGTGCAGAATTACTGGTTCCTGACTGGGACAAGATCCCGAACTGGATGATGCCATCCAGGGTGGTTCTGGGTTTGTGTGTGGGAGCAGTGTGGGAGGTTCATCCAGCTGGGAGCAGGGTGTGTGTGTGGAGGCTGGAGCTCTGTTCCCCCTGGGGAGTCACAAATCCCTGTGGGGTCACTGGGGCGAGGGGACCTGGGGGTGCTGCAGCCACGGGGCCAGCCCTGGGCACTGCGGCCCTGCAGGAGCAGCAGGCTGGGGTGGCTGTGCCCTGCGGGGGTTTGTGCCTTCCCCAGGGAGCAGCAGTTGGTGCTGGAGCCCCGGGCCGTGCCCAGCCCCTCTCTGCTCTGCAGCTCGTGCGGCTGTGCAACGAGGGCGCCCGCAAGATGGAGAGGACCGAGATGATGTACACCATTAACTCCCAGCTGGAATTCAAAATCAAGGTAGGGTCAGGCTCACACTCCTCACCAGTCAGCACACTCAGCTCTGGGGCTTTCCCAGCACCCTCATCCCACAGTGATTCTTGCAAAGAAGTGTTGTGGCACGACAGAAATTAAAACTTTTGGTCAAGTATTTTCATTTTAGTAGAAGGTAATGGTCCAGCACAAGGGATTGAGTGAAGAGTATTTGCTGTAAAGATAAACCTGCTGTGAAATTCTTGGCATTAGGAGAGAGGCCAAAGGCTGCTGCTCAGTGCTGAGATTTGCTTATGGTCCTGATGGGAAAGGTGTGCCTGGGACTTCCAGGCCAGGGAAGGATCCAGGGGTGTTTGTCCTTCCTTTAAGGGTGGGATATCACAGATTTCTATTAAAACTTTCTGTACAGTCAGTCTTTTGTAGGAAACAACAGCAGGTCCAGTCATAGGTAGGGGAGGTTTATTGGACTTTCTTCAAGTACATTTATTGTTTCTATTCAATGTGTGCTGCAGTCCCATTTCTGTATTTGATGTCTGATACCATTACACAAGGAGGATTCTTGTGGGAGAAGATTCTTTCATTATCAGGCCTGTAATGAGTGGAAGTTGGTTCATGGTTTTAAAAGCTCAGCTCTTGAAAGGCTCTGGGTCAGGCTTGGGGCAAATGCTGCCTCCAAAAAGACATTTTCAACTTGCCTAAAGTATTTCTATTCTCAAACTTTGTCTAAAAATTGACAGCAGTAATATTTGCTTATAGCAACAGCAGCAACAAATACAACACTTCTGGGCAAGTGACAGCAGAGCATTTCCTGGTGGCTGGGAGCAGACTCGAGTCTTCAGTGAGTCCAGCCCAGTGTCAGGGCTGAGCTGAGCTGCTCTGTGGCTCCACTCCGACCCCAGGAGTCCCTGGGGATCTGGAGTCCCTCACCTTCCCCTGGGGCAGGACGTGCTGGCTGTCCCTGCTGTGCTGTCACTGTCCCTGTCCTTATCCCTGTCCACCCCTCCTGTCCATATCCCTCTCCTTATCCCTCCCTCCCATCCCTGTCCATCTCTCCTGTCCATCCCTCTGTGTCCTTGTCCCCGTCCATCCCTGTGTCCCTCCCGGCTCTGTGGCTCCTGGGTGACCCCACCCTGTCCTGCAGCAGCAGCAGCTCCGGGGGTTTTGTCTTTCGGTGCTTTTGTGTGAGATTTCCCTTTGTGCATCCAATCCCTGCAGCCCCTCAGGCCCCAGGCAGGGAAGTCCTGCTCTGGTTAAATGCATTTTTCACTTCTGAGAGCAGGGACATAGTGCTCCTTTGGCAATTAAGGAAAAATTAAAGTAAAACCAACTGCCTCTGGAAGAGAGTCAATTAGGAAAATGGGATGAACTCATTTGGAGTAAAGATTAGGGGAATTTTTTGTTCATCCTCAAATAGAACTTTTAAAAGTATTTTTTGCTTGTAAACCAATCATCGTGGGACTGTAATTCTGGTTTATAGCCATTATAAATTAGATAAAGTATTTCTGTTCTTGCCCAGCCTTTTGGAGATTTGTTTATTATTTTGTTAGATGTAACTGTGGAGAACTCCATGGGAGCCCAAGGGAAGTGACTCAAATCTCATGTTGCTTGTGTACATGGCTCAACTGTAGAATTACATTTTTAATTAAGTTTCAGCAGTTTTTGTTCTTAAATTTTGCATCTTTTGCACGAGAGAAGTTGTGGGGGTGTGTTTTAGGGAGTCAGTGTTTGCTCTTGCAGCAGTGGGGTCTCAGTCCCGGGTTTGGGTTTGGCTCAGCAGGTACAGGCAGGCTGCACTTGGCTCAGCCAAGGGATTAAGGGATACAAAAAACCAACTGATGCAGAATGGGGGAGGCAGCTGACAAACTGCATGAAGGGAGGCTGTTTAAAGGCATGTGGAAGGTGCTTAAATGAGGGGAAAACAGGCAGTTTGTTGATTAGTGTGGACTTTGTTCTGCCTGGAGCTCTCTGTCTGTCTGGGGCACCTCAGAGGGGTCTGTGTGACCAGGACAGTCCCACGTGTCCCTCCATCGTCCTGGCCCAGACACACAGAAGGTCCAGCTGTGGGAATAATGTGCATTAATAAAGGCACATCAGGCACTCAGGTCCTCTGGGGCCTTGCTGCAGCTGCTGCAGGTGTTGGCCCTCACCTGGGGAGAGAGGGAGCTCCTGCTCCATCCACTCGAGCTGGATAAAGAGGGGAGCTGTGGGATCCCTGATCAGCCATTTTCAGTAAAGCCTGACAGGTGACTGAGACACTTCAGGAGCCCCAGGGAGAGCAGCAGAGCCATGGAAACCTTCCCCTTGTGCTGTGGGGAGAGCATGGCAGAGGAGTGGGTGGAAGGAAGTGAGTGTGTGAGTGTGTGAGTATATTAGTGTGGTAGTTTTAGTTATTGTGATTGAGTGAGTGTGTGTGAGTGTGTGAGTGTGTCAGTGAGTGTGAGTGTGTTAGTGTGGTAGATTTAGTGAGTGTGTGAGTATATTAGTGTGGTAGATTTAGTGAGTGTGTTAGTGTGTGAGTGTGTCAGTGTTTGTGTTAGTTGTGCCTGCCCCTCCCAAGGCAGGAAAGTTTGTCCAGCCCTGCCCACGTTTCCCAGTGCCACTGGCACAGGGAATGTCACCTCTGCTCCCCTGTCCCCACGTGCTGCTCACCCTGCAGACACATTCCTGAAGCCAGGCTTTGCTCTGTGCCCTCAGGAGCTCTCAGTCTGTTCATCCCCAGTGTGATCAGTCAGGTCTGTTCGTTTCTGTTTTCCATGAGCAGTGATGACAGTGCCCGAGTGATTCCCAGGTATTTGCAGCTGCCACCTGGGGGTTGTAGCAATGATGGAGGCCCTTGAACTTTGGTAACCTCTTTGTGTTTGTAATCTCTGAGCTTTGAGTTTATTCAAGCATTTTTTCCTAAATGGATCATACTCTGTTACTTATTTTTTAAAAGTTCTCTAATTTGGAAGGATTGCAATTACAATGTGATTTTCTTGCCTTGCAGCCATTTCCACTGGTTTCCTCTTCACGGTGGTTGGTGAAGAGGGGTGAATTAACAGCATATGTAGAAGACACTGGACTTTTTTCCAAAAGAACCTCTAAGCAGCAGGTGTACTTCTTCCTCTTCAACGACGTCCTCATCATCACCAAAAAGAAGAGGTAAGAGCTTCACCAGTATAAAACTGCCTTTGTGTTCAGTCCTTGAGTCACAGTGACTTTTAACATGATCCTGGCTGTGGAATGAGTTCAGGAGTTACTTGAGCCTCCATCATGGATTACAAATAACAAGTAACTGCTTGTTAAACAGGATTTACTTTTGGCAAACACAGTTAGGATTCCAAATTGTCAGACGAATTAAAAAGATGATTCTTAATGCCCTAGCAAAGACAGAAGCTGGGGAAGGATAAAGTTTTGGGAATGTCCTTTCCCCTGCAGGCTTCCCACGATTCCAGGGGCAGGAAGCTCATTGTCAGTGCTGGAGCTGGGTGAGCCCTGCTCCCACCCGGTGTTGCCATGGCACCTCCCAAATGTTTGCTGCTGGTTGGGGCTGAGTGTTTGTGGTTTTCCTTGAGCAGCTGAATCTCAGAAGATTCTTAACATTGCACTAAGACATCTCTGCTCACTTCGTGCTCAAAGTGGCCATTTGTGAGGCTGCACTTGGGGCTTTCCCCAGAGTTCACCTCCAGCCTGGCACAGCAGCCACTGCCCAGCTCTGTCCCAGCTCCAGGTGCTGGAACTGCTCAGAACTGTGGCTCTGAGCTGGGGGGACCCTGCAGAGAGGGAGCCAAAGGGGATTCCATGTGTTGGAACTGCTCAGAACTGTGGCTCTGAGCTGGGGGGACCCTGCAGAGGAGGGAGCCAAAGGGGATTCCATGTGTTGGAACTGCTCAGAACTGTGGCTCTGAGCTGGGGGGACCCTGCAGAGGAGGGAGCCAAAGGGGGCTCCAGTCACAGGAACTTGGGATGTGCACAAGGCTTTGAAGAGAGAGAAAAATCTGCTTTTCTGCACTGCCCAGCTTTTAGTTTATTTGGGATGTTTCTTCTGCCAGTTGTCCTTGTAGCCCCTGCTGAGTGTAGACACAATGTGATTTTTAAAAAATGGTTAAAAGTGACATAGTACTTGCCAAGCACTAATGCAGTGTCTTGGGAGGAGCAGTCAGTGCCAGCAGGTTGGGGGTGCTGGATGCTGGGAGAGGCCAGCCAGGATGTGGCTGCTGCCCAGGAAGGGTCACACAGACCTGGCTGTGGGCTGGCTCAGGGCATGGGGGGAAATCAGAGCAGCATTAACTCCTGACTGCTTTGACTGTGTTTGGATTCCCTTCAGCAGGAGTCTGACCCAACAGGTTTGTGGGATGGAAGTGAGGAGTAGGAAGGATTTGTAGAGGTTTATCTGTTGATTATTTAGTAAGAAATGCTGTTAGGATCAGCTGTGCACATGTACAGACTAGTTGATTAATTAATAATAAATGCATTTGTTATTCATTGCACAAATGCATAGACACATTTCTTTTTCAGGCAGCAGATTCCCAGGTAGTGATGGCAGCACTCCAGCTGGGGTTGCCAGCTAAGGAGTTATTCAGGCTAAAATACTGAACTGACTTCTTTAAAAGAAAACAAACCACACCACCCAAAATCCCCAAACTTACCCAAAGAATACAAAACCCAGCTCTCCCAACAAACCAAGCCCCAAGCAACCATTTCCCTGGTTCAGAGCATCTGAGCAGGGTTGGTTCCATTGGAAACACGTTCTGTGCCCATCGTTTGGGGGTGCACGAAACTGTTCTTGCAGCGGGAAGCACCCGAAGCCGTGTCAGTGTTTATTTCACAGAGAGCTGAGCTGGGGCTTTGTGTCACCCACAATTTGGTTCCCCCCGTGTGCAGCTGGGAGGAGCTGATGAAGTGTCCCTGCCGTGGTGTTGGATGTGTCTGGGACTGAGAATGGGAAACCAAACCTTCGGTGGTGTTTTCTCCCTTCCTGTGCCCTGCAGTGAGGAGAGCTACAACGTGACCGAGTACTCGCTGCGGGAGCAGCTGCTGGTGCTGCCGAGTGTCGGGGAGGAGCCCTGCCCCTCTCCCGGCAAGAACGCGGCCGGGATGCTGCACTCGGGCAGGAATTCTGCATCACACCTCTTCAGACTCGTGCTCCTCAGCAACCACGCCGGGGACAGGGTGGAGATGCTCCTGGGAGCAGACACTCAGTGAGTACAGTTACTCTGTGAGTACAGTTACTCAGTGAGTACAGTTACTCTGTGAGTACAGTTACTCAGTGAGTACAGTTACTCTGTGAGTGCAGTTACTTAAGGGATTTCTTCACCTGGTTGTCTCCATGGGCTGCTCCTCCCGTCCTGCCCAAAGTAGTAAATATTTAATTATTATTTGTTCTGGTTTATTAATTTACCTGCTGGCTAAGGCCTCGGTTAGCCTGCCTGCAGGGATGAGTGTGTCTGTGCCTGGGGCAGGTTCCTGTGCTGCCGGGTGGGGGTCACCGTGGGGCTGTGTGGGCTCAGCAGCAGGGTGATGTGGCTCAGGAGTGGCCCCAGGGTGCTGTGGGCTCAGCAGCAGGGTGATGTGGCTCAGGAGTGGCCCCAGGGTGCTGTGGGCCCTGAGCAGGGCGCTGTGCATGGATGGTGCAGCAGTGGAGGCAGAGCAGGGTTTAATGCAGCCCTGCTCCTGCTCTCCCAGCACCCTGGGCAGTGTCCTGGCCTGCCGTGGGAGCCAGCAGCAGCCAGTGCCTGCTCTGGGATGTGCCAGCAACTTGCACACGACCCCCCAGCACTGAAAGAGCTCATTTGTTCTGGGGGAAGCTGGAGGCAGGACAGAGACGTGAAAGGGAGTGCTCCAGACATATCCCTGCTGGAAAAATCGATAGTTTTAGGTTGGCTTTCAAAGTTTAGAATAACCATGAAAAGAACTGAAGATCATCAGTGCTTTCTATTAAAGATGTCATTATGAAGGCAGGAGATGATTCAGACTTGTTTGGAAATGCAATTTTATTGGGGAAAAAATGCAGGACATTTTTAGTTGTCTAGGCTTTGTATGAAAAGACATCTTGTTCTGCAGACTTATTATTGATTTGTTCTGTGCTGTTTGCAGTATAAATAGCAGTCCAGCTGATTATCACTCAGAGCAAGAGTCTGAAAAGAATTCCTGTATTTTAAGTTACCTATTTTTATAATCTTATCCTTTGAGAGAGATGGAAAAAGAATTTCCAAGGCCAAACAGTTCAGAGAGTTGAGCATGCCTTTGGAATAGTTTTGTGCAGGTAAGACTGAAATGTTTTCTCTGACACAAAGATTTCCAGCACAGTTTGATCCTGTTTTGCCTCCTCCCAAGGACAAAAATACCAGTGTAAGGTGAGAGCTTTCTGTCACCCTGTGAGAAGGCAGGAATACACAGAGGTGATGATACTCAGGGGTTACTCGCAGGTGCAAAGAGAGAGATGCTGGCACTGGAAGAAGGGCGGGCAGCTCAGTGCTGAATGCTGCAGGGCTGGGTGAGGACAGCGCCTTGTGTCACTCTTTGCAGGAGTGACAGAGCCCGCTGGGTCACGGCGCTGGGCCACGACAGCGACGGGCAGCACACGGACAGGACCAGTAAGTGACAGCTGTGACAACAGCACTGCCCTCGCTGGGGCTGGGACCTGCACGTGGTTTAAACAAACGGGGATGTGCTGTAGTTAAAGGCCCTGTGCCCGGTTTAACTGAGCCTGGCTCTGTCTTTGCCCAGCGCTGGCTCAGGTGGAGATCATCAGAACGTACACGGCCAAGCAGGCGGATGAGCTCTCGCTCCAAGTCGCTGATGTCGTTTTGGTTTATCAAAAAGTGAACGATGGTAAGTGAAGGTTTTGCTGTCAGTACAATTTGTCACCTCTGCAGGGGGATCCAGCTACAAAAGCTTGTTTCCTATTAGCACAGGGCTGCAGTGAGTAAAAGTTCAGCTTCCAAGGAAAACATGAACGTTTGGGTTCAGGTTTCTAAAGGAAGCAGCAGATTCAGCCAGCTGTAGAACGTGGCTGTGGGCCAGTTTTGGCATGGGAGGTGTCCACAAATAGGAAATTGAATTTGTCTAAAACCACGGAGCTCAGACATTCTAGTGAGTGCCAGGGTTGTCCAAGAGAAACATCCCAGTTTGTCGTGCCATGGCCTGGCCTTTAATGCTCCAGCTCTGGCACAGGGTGGCTGATGAGGTTTTCCACAGGATTAAGTAGCCCAAGATCAAAGTGATTCTTGCCCACGCCTCCACTGATAGCACCAAGTGCTGGCTCAGGACTCCAGGACACTGCCAGAACTTGAGGAACTAAATTCTAATTTGCTGTTGCTCAATTACCTGTGAAATCAGAGATCTTTCACTTGTGCTGCATTGCTCTCTTCAGATTGCCAAGGTACTAGAGCATTACTTCAAACTATATTTGAATTACAGAAAAGATAGTGAAATTGTGCAATACTTTGCACATACCATTTTTCCCTAGTCTGGCTGTATTAAAAAATCTGCCAAAGCTGTCCTAAACTGGTACTCGATTCCCAGTGGAGGCAAGTGCAGGATGTGTGTGATGACCACGAGCAGGGTCAGAGGTGTCCCTGCTGTCCCCTCCCTGCAGGCTGGTACGAGGGGGAGCGGCTGCGGGACGGCCAGAGGGGCTGGTTCCCCTCGGAGTGTGCCAAGGAGATCACCTGCAGGACCACCCTGGACAAGAACATGGAGCGCATGGGGCGCCTGCTGGGGCTGGAGACCAACGTCTAGCCTTGGCCTCAGCCTCAGCCTCAGCCTGGGGGCTGCTCCAGCTGGCACAGGGCACAGCAGAGCCACAACCACCAGCAGCAGCACACTGGAGACTGGCACAGGACACAGCAGAGCCATGAGCAGCAGCAGCAGCACACTGGAGACTGGCACAGGACACAGCAGAGCCACCATGAGCAGCAGCAGCACACTGGAGACTCGTGATCCCTTCTCTGCTGGCTGACAGCTCCCATCTGAGCCCTGGCCCCAGCAGCAGCACCTTGCAGCAGTGTCTTGGGCACTCTTTTGCAGCTCCTGCCTCCTTACACTCCTGTTCCATCTGGTTTTGGCACCTGGACTTGTTTTCAGCAGCAGAACTCTGTAGGGCCAGAGCTGGTGGTGAGCTCCTGAGGAGCTGCAGCCCCTGACGCTGTGCTGTGGGACACTTGGCCTCGTGTGGCACCTGTGTGGCACCTGAACTCCAGTGAGCAGCTCTGGACTCTCTAAAGGCTGACCTACCTCTCCAGGGCAAGTCCAGGGACGTCCCCTGCCTGGCACAACCTTGGCCAGGACTCTGCAGGCACGGCTCAGACTGGCTCCAAGGTCTGCTGTGGGCCAAGGATTTCTGAAAGCCAGAAAATGGTGCCAGGCTGCAGAGCAGGTGCTGCTGATCCGTCCTAGCACAGGTGATTTCCTGCAGAGTCACTCCTGGAAGTGGAGCAGTTGTTTCTGGATTCCTCAGGTGTCTGCTGAGCTCTTGCACTTTGTGCTCCAGAGCAGCAGTGTGATGGGAACGTGAAATGCACTCAAGGGTGAGCAGAGTTCAGGGCAGGTGTCTGTGTGATAAAAACCCTTCCTTTGAAGGACCAGCTGCTGCCCAGCAGTGTGGAAGTTGCTCACTAGAAATGACAACTTGGTAGTACCAAGGCTTGGTTCCTGCTGCCTTCCCCAGCCTCTGCCAAGGGGATGAGTGCTGGTTTTTATCCTGCAAGATGCTGATTTGAGTGGGGAGTGAATTGGATGTTTGTAAAGAGGTGTAGCTCTAATAACTTAAACTACATTAGGAGGGCAGTAACTTTGTACAAAAGTACTTACCTGGACAGTGTGACAGTGGTTATACAGCCTTGCAAATTAATTTATAAGTGGACTGATAAAAATAGTAATGAGTGAAACTGTAAATTGAACAAAGACTTATTTAACATAGTAAAAATACTGCTACTGTTTTAACAAATTTTATTGTATACATGTGGATGTTTAACATATAACTGAATGTATAAATCCAGGCATTAATTTTATTCAGATTTTTTTAATACACTGTATATATTTTTCATACCTAGTTTTTTCAAAAATGCTGCAATGTTTTTGTAAAGACATTTTTCATTTTTCCTATTGTTGGACACAGTTCTTCAGGAATTAAAAGACTTCTATGATTTTATAGGACAACAATCAATAAAAATGCTTTTAAATCCTTACTAAAAAAGGTTTTGACTTTTTTTTTAATGCTATAAAGCTGCCAATTGATAATGTCATTTTTGTCCAAGAAATTAAATCTCTTCAGTAAACGTTGGCATTTTAGATGTTCCTGCTGTGTAAAGATAAATAGCACCACCCTGTGTCCTACCTCATCTGTCACAGATGTCATTTATTTACCTGTTGGTGGCCTGGCACAGCAGCTCAGTGCTGAGACACCATTAAGAGGGAGATGGGAAAAGTCTTCAGTTCCTTCTGCTTCCTGTAGTTCGTTCAGCTGGAAGGGACCTGGAGCCCTGAGCAGCGACCCCTCAGGGCTGCCCCAGGGTTAAATCCTGTTCCTGAGCAGTGTTCAACACCTCAGACAGGCTCTGTGCATTCCCCCCGTGCAGCTCTGCCTCCTTGTGCCATCCCAGCCTCAGCTTTAACTGAGCCCGGGGGTCCCAGAGCCATCCCAGCCCGGGGGTCCCAAAGCCAGCCCGGCCCGGGGGTCCCAGAGCCATCCCAGCTCGGTTCTCCTCAGCCTCAGGACCCAGCTGTCCCCCAGAGAACGCTCCGGGCCGGGCTCCTCCCTCCCCACAGCCGCCGGTGTCTCTTTTCCCCTTCCCCAGCCCCGGGTGATTTTCCTCCTCATTTAAAACAGCCGAGAGTAAAGCAGTGAGCTGGGGCTGGGGAGGGAGGTTAAACCACGAGCAGCTGACAATGAGGAGCTCAGCACCCTCCATCCCTTGTTAACCCAATAGAAAGCACCAGGCAGTAACTTCCACTTAAAACGTTTCACCTGTGCTGCTCTTTTTTCAGGATAAAGCAAATAAATCCTCTGAACTTGATGATTAAGGTCATTTTTGCAAAGGAAAAAACCCAACAAAACACCAAAGAGAGAAAAGTTGTATTTTCAGGCTTTTTTTCTCAAGGATAAACCTCAAAATCCTTAATAAACTTTGTTTTTCAAATAATCTTCCATAGCTGGAGATCATTCAAAACAGAACAACATTCAAAACATTGAGAACAGTTGAAGTAAGACTTGCAAAAAAAGACTCTTAATGGAATACTATAACCAGTACATGAACTTCATAAAAAAAACAACAACGAAGAAAAAACCCAACTCGAATACAATGAAAACTTAACATATAACCCAATTGTAACTTTTATCTAACCATGCTTTCTGGAATCTGTAATTTCAGTCAGCAGTGATGATGGATGGGGACAGAAAGCAAAGGAAGATTAATTGAATGGGATGAAATGCACAGAAGGAGAATTTCTGAAGATTGTTTCCTCCCACCGTACAAATTCAACAAGTGTTTTCAAGTTCAGTTTAATTAAGCTCTAATTACCTTCGTGGAAGCGTTGGTGAGCAGACTGCTGCACAGCTGGAATAACACTGCAAGTATAATTCCTCACCACACTTCATTTAAAAAAAACAAAAACAGTTTAGGTATTACTAAGCAGTATTTTAGCAGGTTTTTAAAATATTTGTTACCTGATAGGTAAAAAAACCCAAAGAAAACAGCTACAGCAGGACAAGAACCTTACACCATCCAACAAGTGCCTTTCTGTCCCTCCCAAAGCTACAGCGAGCACAGAACACATGCACGTACACACACACAGTGCCAGCGAGCTCCAGGAGCTGCTCCTCACCATGAGCAAACTGCAGCTCACCCGGCTGGGCTGGGCTGGGCTGAGTGACCCGGCCCGGCCTGGCTGACCCGGCCTGGCTGAGTGGCCCGGCCCGGCAGGCCCGGCCTGGCTGAGCTGGGCTGACCCGGCCTGGCTGGGCTGGGCAGGCCCGGCAGGCCCGGCCTGGCTGACCCGGCCTGGCTGAGTGGCCCGGCAGGCCCGGCTGGGCTGACCAGGCCCGGCAGGCCCGGCTGGGCTGACC